CTTTTCTCAAAACATTTAAGGTGATTGAGAAAAGTTCTATAACCATCTGGTAAAACTGATAATGTTAAACGTACCAAATGGTAAATTCTATTTCTTTAACTCAAATTTAAAAAGTAATTGACACTATCTGTAAGCCATGACTTTTAATCGCTCATCTTGAGTCAGACAGTCTGGTGGCGTCACATAGGCAGTAGAAATAAATATTTTATGAGGAAACTGGTAGATAATCTTTTGTATCTTATGAGCGAAAACCATGGATCCATATGGCTGCGGAGCACTTTTACTATGAAGCGGACAACAGTTGGTGATTAGACACAGCCTCAAATTTTTATTCCTTGCTCTTACAAGGAACAATATGGAGACTTGAAAATGTTCGGGTCCTTTTATTGGTTCTAGAATGTAATGGGATCCATGTAAATAAGGACTGGTTCATATGTCTCTTTCCAATTTACTGGCAGAGTAACCTGCAAGAGACAGTAGTTGGTTTAATGAGTATATAAAATCGCATTGCCATATCCATTTGTAAAAACATTTCCTATTGTCTAGCAAGTAGCTGGCGATTCATCGGTGTTCTAAGCTCGTCCGTAAAGTATACTTCTGCCAAATTTTCGGTTGAAAAGCTCTATAAATAACAGATTCCCATAGATTTTCTTACCTTTAACAACTCCCAACTGAGGAGAAAAGCTCGCGTTTTTCACCAACTGTCAGTATTTGGCTCCCCTAAAAATTTCCACAATATCTACAGGTTCTCTATATTTATCCCTGGTTTATTGTCTGAATACATAAGTTTTTCGAAGTTTCCACACTTGGTAAACTATGTGCATACGTTTATCCAAAATCTAACCAATTTCGAGTGCATCTGTGGAAATTCACGTCAGAAATTTTAGAATAGATGGAGCAGAAAACCCGGCATTTACCCAGGTCTCGGATTTTAAACAAATTTCACTGAACACTTCCACAAGTGCGAACTTTTGCCGACATAAATTTGAAATTTATCAAGGTATTCCACTAAGGGAAAATTTCATTGATTAAATACCAGTATGCCTACTTTAGGTCTTTTACACCCAAACCTAGAGCTTATTTTTGCCCATGATTTCTATATAATACACGTTTTCCTGGAAAACTCCGCCCTCATGCAAACTTAGTTGTCTACTAGATACCCCAGCAAACAGCTGTTACTTATAGTGTATTTTATGTTCAAGAATACTTTACCCAATAAAATCAGTAAGTACTTTCGTCTAAATTTGAACGAATAGTTTCACAGTATTTGGGCGCCGAGTTAATTTGAGACATTAAAAAGGAAGAATGTATTTAGTAAAATCTCAATGAAAGAATATGAATTAATTTCAACGTTTTGCCTGGCAATCTGGTCCAAGCTTTTTCAAGGAAAATATAATCAACGAACAAAATTATCGAATATAAATAGGTACACGGTTCTTCGGTTTACTGTGTACTGAATAAGTCAACCATTCAATGTGAAGGATTTTTAAAATAAATAGGTATTTGCATTAATGTGTAAGAGACATGTTTATATAAAAATAATCAAGGTCAACCAAATAAAAGTTCAACTAAAAATAATCAAGGGGATAGAAAAAATAAGAAATTGTCGTGTTATCCTAGGCTATAGAATGACTTAAGGATTACAAGGTAAATTCAAGGTTAACTTCAAATTGTTTTTGTACACATAAGTACAAGGCATGTGTTATGGTAGAGGTAATAGAAGCGGTTTTTTTCCGAAATAATTTCCATATCTTACATAAATATATTCCACTAGTTAGTGTGTTTGTCAAATGTGGATTCTCGTAATAAACGTACTTAGTATCTCAATACCTACATGATACTATTGTTACTATTCCACATTTATATATGTTTACTCGGATTTATTGACATTACTACCCATGTAGTTGCCGATTGGAAATAGTTTAATATGGTGGGGCGACATATTGTTTCACAATTTTAGACCATGGCAACTTCTACCAGAGTTATCTACGATCCTTTTGGGTTTTCGAAAGTAACGTTTCCAGTTCTGTTGAACAGATGCTTTTTTAATCTGGATAAAAGTTTTTGTTACCGATTATGTAAAGAGGAGGAAAGTATATGCTGTTTCCAGCAGTTGTATAACCAAGAAAAAGAATATAACACAGAAGTAAATAATGGTTCGTATTAATAAGAAACTAGAATGGACTTTGCTGAAATGCAAACTGGAGCACTTTTGTGCTTATGTTCGATCACAGAAAGGAATCTTCCTTCAGATGACTTACGAACAGGTGTTGAGTTGAAAGTAACATTCGAAACAACTTTTGGTTTTCATTCAGCCAATATTGATCAATATGGTACACCAATGTTTCATTTAAAAAGGCTGAGTGAGTAAATTGGTGATTACATGTAATAATAAGGACTGTCAGATCTGATAAGAGGATTGTGACTACGTATACACCTTTGAAGGCTTTAAAAATGGGGGCTCGTTGTAGTATAGTTCGGTATCTGAACGTGAATGTTTTCACAAAGAACTCTTCATCAATTGCGATGTATTCATTCGGTAAATTATTGTCATTCAGTTCTTATATCATCATCCAGTACACAGCCACTCAAATTAAAAAAAACTATACCTAACGAGTAAGTTGTATCGAAACGTTTTTTTCTTTGCAGTATTAGGTAGATGAATACTAAAATTATATTGGAAGTTAGTGACTTGTTAGATATTGTAAGAAAAAGTTAAGGGTTATGTAAATAAATCATCTTTTGACACGTAAGGTATAGAAATTATTTCGGAAAAAGACCTTTTCTATTGCGTCTACCAACTTGGAGGTTGTAATTGACTTTATTGGGTAAAGTATTCTTGAACATAAAATACACTATAAGTAACAGCTGTTTGCTGGGGTATCTAGTAGACAACTAAGTTTGCATGAGGGCGGAGTTTTCCAAGAAAACGTGTATTATATAGAAATCATGAGCAAAAATAAGCTCTAGGTTTGGGTGTAAAAGACCTAAAGTAGGCATACTGGTGTTTAATCAATGAAATTTTCCCTTAGTGGAATACCTTGATAAATTTCAAATTTATATCGGCAAAAGTTCGCACTTGTGGAAATTTTCAGTAAAATACATGGGTTCGCGAAAACTTGGTTGTATCTCTCTGACTACCCTTTAGACCACTCTTAGTGGTTTTCGGGAGGAAAATATCTCTAGATAGGTGTAATGCATAATTCACCTTTATGATTATTGAGTCGCTCCACATCACCATCCTCTTTAAAAATTTCTCTCTCGTCGACGAGATGGTACCTGTAAGTCTGCCTTTTCTAAGGTGGTTTGTTGGTAACACATTGCTAGACAATATCAGTATTTTCGAACAAGATTATTGAGGTCGCGTGACACAGGATTGGGATTAAGCTTAGCACATTCAAACGTGCCTACTGAGTTTGGGTTACTGTTCAATCAGTCAGCTACAACGTAGAACCAGGCACATATATGCATCGGTCTAAGTTGCCATACCTCATCAACACAACAAGATGAACACCGGATTCACAAAAGAAGTTAATTCACTTGTGATAATACATAAAAGAAAGACTGCAATAAGGATATAGTACAGGAAGAAAGAATTAGTTCGTAGAAAGAAAGATATGAAGCGATTTTATTCTCTTAGTTTAAGCGAAGACAGAAAGTGTATACACCGAAGCCATTGTGATCGATTCTGAGCCATGTCATCAAGAGTCTTTAACCGTTGGTATAATCTTGTTTACGCCCTTTGCTCACGGCTGTACCATACTAATGAAAAACTGCTTCCAAATCTCCTAATCATCGGTAAGAGGTCTATTGAAAATGGCCTATTAATCTTGACAATTTACTAACAGACACCAATAAATCCTCTCTCACTCTATTGTACATCAATTTTCTGTAAGTTATGAAAGTAGGAAGCAAATATTTATTAAAGACCGCTCAACAGTAGGACTCAAAAATCCCCCATGTTAATGGGAATAATGATCCTATGCGTGGCATTTTACGAATAAAATATGTGATTACCTTCATATTATTAATACGGTACTGAATGTTTTTCTGTAAACGTGTTTATCAGTTATAGTGGAACTTGGTGGTGACGCTTTACATATTCAGTTTTATGTCATCTGAGATACAAGATGAATTGTTTCATTGCAGTGTATGTGATTTGAAAATCAGGTATGATTACAAAGGTGATAAGCCTCCATTCTTCAAAAAGGATGTAAAGTAAATAGGTATCCTAGCGTTGTAATGATAGCTTCAGGCTTCTAGAAAATGTATATTGTATTCGTGATCCGTTTGCTGACGATAATTTGGGTGGGATTATACTAGGTGGTGATTGTAGTGTGTGCGGGAAAAGTGTTTGTGTTTCTCAAGTATGTCGTATTCAGTTTATTTTATATGATATTTAGAATTGTTCTACATACAACGTGAAACGATACTGCCTTTGTTGTGCGAAAGATGAACATGGCAGCAGTTGATAATACGGTTTGTGTGGATTGCTAAAGCGATAATTATTTGTGTACATATGTATGCTTTTTTTGTGAGTACTTGTTGTGCCAATTATTGTGCTCAGTTGTTAAAATAATAAACATGGAGAGTTACATTTAATTTTGTTTTTATTTGTTAATACGTTTGAAATGTGTAGTTAATGGCGGGTTTACTTACTGTTATATCCCGGCGGGAATTATGAATGGTAACTTTCGAGAACTATTCAGTATCTAAATTATGCATATCCATACTCATCTTATTACAAGCTTTACTTTGACCTATAAACTATTATTACACGGTTCACCGTTCTTGAGTTATGCCCAGTCTATTAATTTCAGTCTCCGATATTCATAGCTACTTTTGGCTAGGTCTTGTACAAATGTTATTTTTTATTTTATGGTACGATGTGGCCTGTTTGGTTTATATATATATATATATATATATATATATATATATATATATATATATATATATATATATATATATATATATATATATATATATATATATATATATATGGAGTACATGATTAATATCTCAGAGACTGAGATCAGTGTTCTGAACTCAAAAGACAGGGCTAGGTAGGAAGAAGGGACCCATAAAAACTCTAGACAGTTCTTACAGGTTTTATACATCATTGGTCCGGTCGATAAATCACTGTTCTCTAATTGATGGTATCATTAAGTCATATACTGATAGGGACTCAAGATATAACAGATTTCAATAACATTCAAAAAAATCAACAGACTGATAAATATCATGTGGTCACTAATGGGTAATTTATAGAGAAAATATGCATAGTTCTGGTAGTAAGCTGTAACATTAAAAGATTGTTGTATAATGGGTCAAAATTAAACATGAAAAGATATGATATCGACTGAATCGTTTGAACTTTCTACTAATCACATTGTTTATCGGAAAGAAATCAAAAATTAAACTTATGAATGAAAAAAACCCGTAAACGAGTAGATAAAATGTTTTTTAAATATCCAAAGGACATTGAACATATTAAAGTTATTATTAGGCAGTACAAAATAAAACAAGTGCAAAAGTACGCATGATAATCAAGTGGTTGTTAATTGCAGTCTAAAAAAAGCACACCATAAACACAACTTTGAACGACTATATCTCTTGCATAATCAACATTTATTTCTTAATCTATGCAAAAAAACAGATGAATAAGTATCAAAGAGTTAATTTAAACGTAAAGAGAATTAAATGAATTAATCAAAGTATTTATGTATATGATAGGCGATTCCAGAAAAGTTAAGTGTTTTGGTTAACTACTGAAGGCACCGACTTTTTTTCGATAAAGCTTCAATTGATCAACATACATGCCTGTATTAGCGTATTCATACAAACAATGGATCGTTTTAGTTGGAAAAAGTCTGAAAATAAATCAATAGGAATAATAATAATAATGTGTTGTATAGTGTAACTTATTGATGTCTACATTAATAATGATTTGGTTAGTTTTTTTTTAAAAAACAATGCAATTCAGTTTTGATTGCCTGTAATAATGTTAAAACTACTCAAGGACCAATCAACTTGTTGATCTAAATATTATTCTGATTATTGAAATAAAAAAATCAGACAATCTAGGTAAGTGAAAATATTTGATATTTTCTAACAGATTTTACAATTAAAGATGGAAAATGACACTGATCGGTTGAAGTTAGATATTTAAATTATCGAATGCCGGGCCAACGATCTAAAGGTCAAAATCTCCTGACAACAACCCGAAAGTTTTAAGTTTAATCCTCAGTAAAGGTGTAGTTGCATACTGTTAAAGTCTTTTAATAGGACGAAACAACTGTCCAGCGCTTCCCGATTTTCAATGATTGCCTTGGGTGATTTCAATAACATTTGAACTATTATGATTAGTAGATCAGAGATAGATTGGTGAATTGCAAGTTGAAACAGTCAGCTTTATATTAGTAAGTGTTCAGTGGAGCAGTGGTTAAGGCGTTGAGCTACTAACTATTAGGTACCATAAATGAATACATGTATTCATTCATATGCACCGAAGAGCCTGGTATATTTGTGGATTGGTCGAAGTTACCGCATCACAGCAAAATATCAAAGTAATGGATAGAATTAGTGACAGAATCAGTGGTAGTAGAAAACATTAAGCATAGACGGTATGATTCCAGAAAATATGAATACATAGAACAAAAAGGAATTAGATAATTCAAAATCTCAGGATCTAAGGGAAGAAAAATAGTAAATGCGTCTGTGCAATTACGAACAATTGTGAGCCATAAATAAAAATAATATATTTGTAATATCCCAATGAGTAGAAAATTGGATTTTCTGACATTTCGTGACTTAGTGTAAGTCACTTCTTCAGAGAATAAATAACCAAATTAAAATTAATCCAAGTTTAAATAGTACAACGGAACAATGCAAGAATAATATTGGATCAATCAAAAACAAGTCTGAACAAGTTGATGTCATGTCATTTCTGTATAGTAAGACCTTCCTTTCTATTGAGAGAAGTAGGATTAAACATTATATGGAACGCCTCAGCTACCCTCCTTTCTTTGTAGTTAGAAAAGCCTTTTTGCAATATTTTGATATTTTTAAAATCGATTTGGTGGTTGTTGAAAATGGCATGAACTGCTATTGCCGATTTAATTTGAAGTTGGTTCAATTCTACAGGATTGTTAGAAGGTTTCTTTGTGTGCATAATATGTTCTTTGGCTCTAGTCACGATTTCGCGGGATGACTCTCCAATATAATAGGCATCACAATCGATACAACCTAATTTGTAGACGCAGTTCTGTGTGGACATGAAAGGGATTTTGTCTTTCAAGCGAACTAAAGTATTACGTAGTGTGTCCGTTGTTTTGTAATACACTTTGATTTTGTGATGTTTTAAGATTCTTTGAATTTCTTCTGTTGTGCCATGACGGTATGGTAGAACTACAGTACCAATCCATGGCATTTCATTAGAATCATTATTAGAATGTAATAAACTGTTTTGTTTTAATATGCTTCTAATAATCTTCATAGGAAAATTATTAAATTGTAAGATGCTAACTATATTCATTTGTTCTTTTTGTTTGTCTTCCTCTGATGTGATGATCTTGTTAGCTCTTCTAAAAAGATTTAAGGCTAGCGAGATCTTTGCACTGAAAGGATGTGCTGAATGGAAGTCAATATAACGATTTGAATGTGTCGGTTTTCGGTAAATGGAAAGGTTTAGACTTCCATTTGGATTTCTTTTTACTAAGCAATCCAAGAATGGCAGCTCACCATGTACATTTTCATTCGTGAATTTGATGTGCGATGAAAGTGTATTTATTCGTTTTGAAAAAGATCTTAGATGAGTCTTTTTTATAATAACAAATGTATTATCTACATATCTAAGCCAAATTCGTGGTATAATGTTGTGGGCGAAGATATTTGATTCTATGTATGCCATAAAAAGGTTGGCTACAATCGGGTACACGGGAGATCCCATCGCTACACCGTTAGTTTGTTTGAATAACATACCGTTAAAAGTAAATAGCGTTGAATTTAAGCACAGTTTTAAGGATTTCATGATTAGACTGATGCTCAACGAACATCTGTCAGGAAGAGTATTGTCGTTCTCAAGTAAACCACTAATGAATTCTAAGCATTTATCAATGGGAACACTTGTGTATAAAGAAACGACATCAAAGCTTACCATAATTTCATTCTTCTCGATGATTAATCCGGATAATTTTGATTTAAAGTCACATGTGTCTTTAATTATATTATGTAAGTTGAGTTGTAGTGGTTTTAATATGTTGCTTAAATATTTTGATAATGCATATGTTGGGGTGTTTGTGAAGTCTACTATCGGTCTTAGAGGAATATCTGGTTTATGAATTTTTGGTAAGCCATAAAACCGTGAGACATTACATGATTTGGGATGCAACGCAAACCAAAGCGAGACCCCAATGAATCATGTAATGTCTCACGGTTTTATGGCTTACCAAAAATTCATAAACCAGATATTCCTCTAAGACCGATAGTAGACTTCACAAACACCCCAACATATGCATTATCAAAATATTTAAGCAACATATTAAAACCACTACAACTCAACTTACATAATATAATTAAAGACACATATGACTTTAAATCAAAATTATCCGGATTAATCATCGAGAAGAATGAAATTATGGTAAGCTTTGATGTCGTTTCTTTATACACAAGTGTTCCCATTGATAAATGCTTAGAATTCATTAGTGGTTTACTTGAGAACGACAATACTCTTCCTGACAGATGTTCGTTGAGCATCAGTCTAATCATGAAATCCTTAAAACTGTGCTTAAATTCAACGCTATTTACTTTTAACGGTATGTTATTCAAACAAACTAACGGTGTAGCGATGGGATCTCCCGTGTACCCGATTGTAGCCAACCTTTTTATGGCATACATAGAATCAAATATCTTCGCCCACAACATTATACCACGAATTTGGCTTAGATATGTAGATAATACATTTGTTATTATAAAAAAGACTCATCTAAGATCTTTTTCAAAACGAATAAATACACTTTCATCGCACATCAAATTCACGAATGAAAATGTACATGGTGAGCTGCCATTCTTGGATTGCTTAGTAAAAAGAAATCCAAATGGAAGTCTAAACCTTTCCATTTACCGAAAACCGACACATTCAAATCGTTATATTGACTTCCATTCAGCACATCCTTTCAGTGCAAAGATCTCGCTAGCCTTAAATCTTTTTAGAAGAGCTAACAAGATCATCACATCAGAGGAAGACAAACAAAAAGAACAAATGAATATAGTTAGCATCTTACAATTTAATAATTTTCCTATGAAGATTATTAGAAGCATATTAAAACAAAACAGTTTATTACATTCTAATAATGATTCTAATGAAATGCCATGGATTGGTACTGTAGTTCTACCATACCGTCATGGCACAACAGAAGAAATTCAAAGAATCTTAAAACATCACAAAATCAAAGTGTATTACAAAACAACGGACACACTACGTAATACTTTAGTTCGCTTGAAAGACAAAATCCCTTTCATGTCCACACAGAACTGCGTCTACAAATTAGGTTGTATCGATTGTGATGCCTATTATATTGGAGAGTCATCCCGCGAAATCGTGACTAGAGCCAAAGAACATATTATGCACACAAAGAAACCTTCTAACAATCCTGTAGAATTGAACCAACTTCAAATTAAATCGGCAATAGCAGTTCATGCCATTTTCAACAACCACCAAATCGATTTTAAAAATATCAAAATATTGCAAAAAGGCTTTTCTAACTACAAAGAAAGGAGGGTAGCTGAGGCGTTCCATATAATGTTTAATCCTACTTCTCTCAATAGAAAGGAAGGTCTTACTATACAGAAATGACATGACATCAACTTGTTCAGACTTGTTTTTGATTGATCCAATATTATTCTTGCATTGTTCCGTTGTACTATTTAAACTTGGGTTAATTTCAATTTGGTTATTTATTCTCTGAAGAAGTGACTTACACTAAGTCACGAAACGTCAGAAAATCCAATTTTCTACTCATTGGGATATTATTTTTATTTATAACAATGAACCCAATGCTCAATTTATTCGAAATTATCAAATCAAACCTTGGTAATGACACCTACAATTGTGAGCCATGTTGCTTTACGTCTTCCCAACCATTGGCTACATCTTTTGCACGGACACTAACATCTACCAAAACGAACCAGTCTAACTGTTAATGAACTGATGGTGCGTTTTGTTTTTCCACCACTAAAATTCAGTCTACTCCCCCACACTAGAAATTTGACGTCGAAGTAGACAGTGGCTTGGGATATGTAGTAAATGCCTCATTCGACGAAGGCTTACTACTTCATCAAACAGTTAAAAGTGCAGTATACCTATTTTTCATGGATTTTACTTCCTATGATATTTTGAAATATGACAACATGAACCGGTGCATATCTGTGTGAAAATTCATATTTTTATGTCTGAAAATTTAAGAGTACCAATTAATGCAGAATTCAGTTGTTCAAGTATTAAAAAGTGAAATCGAGAGTCTATTGTTGCAGTAGGTTCTGGGCATTAGACCACAAACTATCATCAACCTTACTCAGTTGAGGTTATGATTCTAAATGATACTAGAACCAGAAGCTACCAATCACATGAATTTATTCAACCCCTATTTTTAAGAATATAATGTTACCCGATATTTGTGAAAGTTTGTAACCTCACCGACTAATTTAGCTTTTCTGGTTAACTATTATCAACTAAAATAGCTTGCAGGCCAATAAACTACTAGATTAGTTGGGGAAAAAATAGTAATATAAATTGACTAAAACGGTATTGATTATTAAGCTATACGATAATTTGTGTATAGTGCGAAAAAGCACCAGTAAAAAGTGGATCAGCACGTTTCTGAAATTACCTCTGAATTGATCTGTGAATTATTTTATTTATTTAAACACAAATATTGGTACAAGGGGGCACCAAGCAAATATGCGCCACACAAATCTCATTTGATATGTGTGAGGGCTGTGATACTGCCCAGGTGCCCAAACTGAAGCAGGTGGGTCACATCCAGAGCCTTCGACCAGAAGGTCTGATCCACAAAGCAGTGGAGTATCGTAAGGAGATGCAGTTCCATGGTAGCCGTTGACCAAAGATTGGTCCATACGCCATTTGTTCTTGCAGGATACTGGAGCCCATGTGCACCATTGGTTTGGAGTCAGGGTTTTCCAACTCCCCTAGGTGGACTCTCCATTTCCACCAACCCGGTTAAAGTGCCGGACATTCGCTTTTCGTCCTCTCGATTTCGTAAACAACACCCCCGACACGAGAAGGCAATGAGTACGATTTCCCTGTCAGAGGCTATATACGCGTGGCCACGTGAGAGTATTTCGAGAAGGAGAGCGGACTCTCCCCACTCCCGGTCGTACCAGGGCATTTGGGGGCGATTTATGAATTAACGTATATTTGTGACAGCATTTGGTATAACGAACCACTAAAAGAACAGCATTTACAAGGTTTTCTGAACATATCACAAGAGCGACCATTAGGCACTTAATGGACAGTGGACATAATGTAGATATAACAAAGATGTCTAAAGTAACTAACAACGGAATATGAGTTCGTTTTATTCAGTAAATCTAGTTGTTATTTTTTAATTAAGTTTATCAAGTGATCATGATATATGGGAGAATGGATACTTACATTAGTAAGATGGGCAGTATACGATATCGGGCCGATACATAAACAACTCGTTCATTTAGACGTACAGATTGAACGATTCGTTTTGCACAATAGCCTGCATCCACAGTAGGGAAGAGCAAAGGATGTCTGTAATATAATGGATAATAATTTTAATAATACACATGGCAATCCAAAAATTCATATTTACGCTAAATATTCGAGATGTGCTTGTTACAATAAGTTAGATAAAGTCATCTCTTTACTGGAATGTCAAGCGTTTGGTAAAAATAGTGGAATTACTCTATTGGTGCTTAGTTGATTAACCACTTCATCTTACACGCACGATTTACTACGGAAAGATACCCACTCTTTATCCTCTCTTAGATCTAATGTTCTTCATGACTGTTACTACCTCTCTACTTGTCTTGACGAGAGTCCAAGGTCCTAGTAAGTCACAACTGGTTCATTTTAGCCATGTTGAAAGTAGGATATTTGTCCCATGTAGGATTGGATGATTACTGTGCCATGTTGGGAATCGTTTTAGGTTCGAATTGTGGAGGACGGAATCCCAAATCAGTGGCCTAAAGGTTTAATGTTTGGCTTGGAATTTGAATGTCTCAGGTTGTGTTTGTGCTACCGAGAAGTCCCATAAGAACGAAAAAACTGCCCAGTGCCTCCTAACTTATGTTACTCTACGATAAGAGTTACCTATAAATAAAATGAACAGTAATCAAAAGGACTTACTTGGGTGTAACACCCTTAAACATATCTGTATTAAGTAGAAAAGGTAATACACGTGTAACACGAATCTCATCATCCACACCCAACTTAAGCAGCTCCAGTTCTAATGATTCAGAAAATAATAGAGCTGCAGCTTTTGATGCACAATAGTCTGCACCACCTGCTAGAGGTACCCGACCAGCTACTGATGAAACGCAAACAATATGTCCTCTAGGATGACGAAATTTGACTGGAATACCAGAGCTTGAATTCTCATCTATTTTGTTAATCATAGATGGTAATAATGCTTGAATTAACTTTGCAAAAAGGGATACAAAAGAAAAGATGACATAATAAAGATAAATGTATTAAAAGTAATTAAGTGATTTATTGTTCAAAACAATTAGCTTCCTGAAGAAATGAAATGTCAAAATGTATGTGATTTACTGACTTTATAACAAAACTATTTTTTTAATGGGTCGAAAATATAAAAAACCACTTCGTAATAAGTCTAACAGTAGCCATACTTTATGTAATAATTAATATATTTTTGTGTATTTCTGATGAGTAGAAAACGCGTGTTCCTGAAATTCCGTGATTTAAAATTTAAGTCACTTTTTCAGAGATTTTGGTTACTTATCTGCTTTGAAGAAATAACTGATATTAAGTCACGAAACGTCAGGAACACAATTTTCTACTCATTAGGTTATCATAAAAATATATTTATTATTAACTTTCTACTCAATGCTCATTTATTTGAAACTATCAAGTCCAACCTTGACATTGATACCCCACATACTTTATATATGAGTGATCATAACAAAGTAAGACGAAAAATTATTAAACTCCAAAATGAATAATAAAATTATACCGCACACATTCCAAGTATGGAATGATTAGGAGTTCAACTTAGAAAAAATGTTCTACTAGTTTACAACTGTTAAACATCATATCGGAATAATAATGTTTTTTAGAAATACTAAGTGGTTGTTATTGTCAGTATATTAGGAACACAATCTGTCAATTGCCGAAAAGAAACTTACATAGATATGTGACAAGACATTGACTCGGAAACAATCTTCTATGGAATCATGTGTTAGGTCAGTGATAAATTCTGCATTCATGACACCCGCATTATTCACTAAAACAGTAACTTTTCCAAATTCTTTCAAAACGCTTGTCGATAGTTCATCAATAGCTTTTTTGTGTCTATCAATACAAAGAGATTATTTAAATTGGTTATTTTTAGAAGACAATTCATACCTTAAATCGCATACATAAACTTTAATTTGAATATTAGTTTCCTTATGAACCAACTTCGATGTTTCTAATAGACCCTTCTCATTCTTATCAACAGCTATTATGTTTGGACAAAATTTCGCAAACTCCAAACACATGAGCCTGCCAATACCATTTCCTGCACCTGGAGAGTTGAAGAAAATTAAAGTATTATGTTATACAATAATAGTTACCAGTGACAAGTATAACGTCCGATGAAAGATCCTTATAAACTGGACTGATTGTTTGCAAAATATAGCTGGCAACTTCACGAAAAAAGCACCAGAGGAGTTTGAAAATAAACACAATATGTTCCATAACGAGTTCCAAGTATGGCGTTCGGTGTTCGCATTGAATCATTATGATTACCTAAACGAAAAAAAGTTCACTTTATAGATGTAAGGATGAATCAGAAGAAATATACACATTTTTGGCACAAATGATTGCAGATCTGTAATTATGTTTAGGTCCCGGTCGTTGTTGCTACCTTGAAGTGGTTGTCAGGTGTGTCTGTCGTTATGACCCGATCGGGCCATGATGTCTGAGACAATCGTTACTCAAAGTCCTACCATGCCAGATAAATCTGTTGAGCGGTAAGACCAAAAGCAGCGAACCCAAGGTCCAAAGGCTCATTCGTACTGCTGACTGTACAGAGGTAAGACGGCAGTAAAGTATTTCCCTCAGACAACCAGCATGACAGCAATGGTGCCTTCGCACAGAGAAAGGGTGAGGTTAGAGAAACGTCAACCGAAGAGTACACACCTCACATTATCTTACGGATTTTCGTCCCCAGCGGTAAAGTCTCAACAAGTACGTAGCTAACATGAAAATTACTCACAAAAAGGTCGTGTATGATCGACCTCACACAGTCGTCCCTTTGGCATTGCGGTCACACTCTCAGGTGACTAAGATCACCTCTAACCCAATTTCCTTTTAAGGTGTCCCTAGGAGAACCCTCCCACGGTGTGGGCAGCCGAGTGATAACCGTCTCACTAGACACATAAAATTCAAATTAAAAAGATCTATTAGAGTAAAACTCAGCTATGAGAAGACCAGAGTTAAATTCCAGGAACAACTGAAGTCACACTGGGGCAATCTTGAAAATAGGGCTGACCCAGATGTTACTTGGAAAGATATACAAACAGTTGTAGAAACAGCAGCGATATCTACTGGTGATTTGAAGCAAAGAGTCACGAAAAACAAGTAGAAGTCTGCAACACCTATTGGACTTATCCCATTAGGCTCCGAACACGGTGAAGAGCGAAAGCAAATCAGATCTAGGCTAATCAAAAGAGATGAAAACATTAGCGGCTGTAGGTAACACCAGAAAGAAACCGGTATTAATAAGTCAAGTGTAAGTGAGATGATCTTGGAAAAAGACAACACTTATCTGCTCTCAGTCCAGCTGGCCTTCATTTACTCTACTAATACTACTACCTACCATTAAAAAACAGCCTGAATGGAACATTGAAGTAAACCCCCCGACTTTAGTTTAAAAAGCTATAGATAGTCTGAAACGAGAGAGCAACTGGTTCAGATGGACTAACTCCAGAGGTCTTTAAGGATGATGATCCAGTCTTAGCGATTAGGTTGACAAATATCTTAGCTAAAATCTGGGGACTGTATGTAATTTCATCTGACTAATTGTAATCACTGATCGTCCCAATATATAAGAAGGGGTCAAAACGATCCTGCGATAACCATAGAGAGACTAGTTTGACTGTTATAGCGTCTGAAACAATAGGCTCAATCATTTTTGGAAGCCTAACAAAGGCTCATAAACCGCAAACACAAGAAGACCAGGCTGGCTTCAGACCTGGTTGTGACTTCGTCGAACACATATTCACCATTCCTCAGATGTTGGAACATGGGCATGCTTATCGGCGTCCAACAATGATGGTTTTCCATGACTTGAAAGCCGTATTTAACTCTGCAGACCGAGAGCTTCTGTGGCAGTGTCTGTCATTGAAAGGCGTACCTCAGAAGTTCATAAACACTGTGAAGGCTCTTTACTCGAACACTACCAGTCGAGTCAGGCTGTCCACATTCTCCATTTTTGTTTAACTTCATCATAGACTTAGTGCTGGAAATAACGTTCTCATCGTCTGAATTTTCGAGAATTGATCTCCTTCCAGGAGGTCCACTTATCGACTTAGATTACACAGATGACATAGCACTGTTTGGTGAAGACGCTGATGAAATACAGTCTTTTGATAGCACTGAGCGACAATGCCAAGATGTTTGAGACGCGTTTCTCCCCCTCTAAATGAAAATCGTTGTTTTTTGGACTGGCCTGGGTCAGTAACTGCACTAAGGAAAGGGGGTGAAGTAGTCAAATGCGTTGACAACTCCATTTATCTTGGGAGTCTGAAAAGCCCTGATGGGTTGGTGTCTGACGAAATTTCAACACGGATTCGAAAAGCTCGCTTGGCTTTTGCCAACTTACGTCATCTATGGCGAAGGCGAGATATCCGCCTATCAATTAAGGGACGAGTATATTGCACAGCAGTTTGTTCTGTTTTACTTGAAGGCTGTCAAACGTAGCCAATGAGAGTAGAAGATACTCGTAAGTTACTAGCATTTGATCACGAATGTCTTAGAAATGTTGTTCGCATCTGCTGGGATGACGGCTAAGTAATAGTGAGGTTAGACACAGGGTATTAGGGAATGAGAGTAAATCAGTCGATGAGAGTGCAAATATTTATCGACTGAGATAGTTGGGCCACCTGTTGCGTATGCCTGAACACCGATTACCACGACGCGCAATGCTGACCAGCGTTGAAGACGGCTGGAAGAAATTTAGGAGTGGTCAAAATAAAACGTGGCATTAATGCTTTAAGTTACTAACTTCCAGTCTGAATCATGTTGGTAGATGCAGACTACTTGATTGGGGTCCGCGTGACTATCGTAATGAATGGTTGGATACTCTGGGTGACATGGCTCAGAATCGATAGCAATGGCGTAGGTGTATGCACTCTTTTTCTTTCCTTAAACCGTGATATAAAAATTGCTGTATATATTTTTTTCTACGAACTGATTCTTTCTTCCTGTACTATATCTTTATACACAATCTTTCCTTTATACATTACTATCATTGAAGTGACTACTTCCATGAATTTGGTGTTCATCTTATTGTGCTAATGAGGTGTGACAATTTGTACCGATGCCTATATGTTCCTGGTCCTAGGTTGTAAATGACTGGCTGACTTACATTTTAGGCTAAGTTATTATCTTGTTTCTGAAGCATCAATAGGTGAGAAGGGATTTGAATACAATTCAATTGGTTATAAATCTTTAAGTCACAACCACAAATCTATAAGCCTGGAAACGACAATGAAGACATATAAGCATACTGTATGCTCTTTATTTATACGAGTGGTCAGGATAGAGCTTATGACAAATCAATATCTGAATAGGCTATGGAAAATAATGCCCGTGTTCCTCCACCTTTATTAATTCTATTATGGATTACTTTTCATTCAACTTTCGGTGATTTATCTACCACTTGAAATAATTTGGAGTGTGCTAATGACCTAGTTTCTCAGTGAAGATGCTGAAAGTTTCTTGAGCCTCTTACTTGACAAAGCAGATGTATTTAAGATTTACTTACTTGCTCAGAATTCAAGAGCTGCTTTGGGGTAAATTTGTATCAAATAGCTTTTTGATAATATGAAGTGAGGTGTGGGGAGATTTAATAGATATATTAAGCAGACAATCAGAATACAAAAACGCACGAAGAGCCTCTTAGCCAAATGAGGAACTGGGTATTAATTGTTTGGTATATTATTACACTGCTTTTAGCATGTATGTATTAACACCAAGATAAATACTTTATAATATGTCCTGAAACGTGACCGAGTATAGTGGAACAGGAAGAAAACAAGCAAAGGATCAGGAACTAGGCAGGCAAAAAAGATTAACTACGTCGTTAATCGCTCATTAACAATATGTTAGGACAGTTATTTCCAACTACCACCGCGTTGACGATTTGGATAGCAAATTGATAAAATGTATGAAATATGGTCTTATTTAATTCATAACTCTTTAGGAAGGAAAGTAAGACGACACAACGTGAATACTTATTATTTAATCATGGAATCTTGTGGTAAAAATAATAAAAGTGATATAATATGAGTCTCAAAAAACGCAAATACTACTGAAATTTAGAGTTCTTACAGGCAACCATAGTAAATATATATAACCAGTCTTCCGATTTTGGGGATAATTTTGTCAGTTTTGGGTAAATGGCACAAACCCCCCAAATGTCCCCAAGTCCGGGTAGAACTACGAATTTTAATATCACTTTAAGGAAGATCCCGAAATTTCGTTAAAATCGGGGGAGTGGTTTGACCAAGATAATTTCAAGGTGGTAAACTATAGAAGAATAAAACTGTGCGAAGCTCGAAGTAATGGTTCGAAATTACATATATATGGACTAAGTTACCTACATGTCTGCAGGAGAACAAAGAGATAAGATTATCTCTATTGTTCATTATATATACGATTATTTTTGTATCGTATGATACAAAAGTCATCCCAGAGGTTGTATTTAAAAAGGAAAATATGTAACCGGCAAGGAGTGCGTTCAGTCTTCAGTAATAAGGATAGTAGGTTGGTGAACCTGTATTAATCCTGACACATTGCTTTCCAGTGAAGGTCCAGCTTCTCCTTGAAAGTATTCACTGATGGGGCTGATACCACTTGTTCGGGTAAGGCGTTCCAATCATTGACTACTCGATGAGAAAAACAGGACCCCACTTTAAGTTTATTAGATCGTGGTTTATGAACCTTCTTGCTATGACCTCGGAAATTATTACTGCTGAAGGGAGCAAAAAGATAAGACATATTAACACCCAAAATCATAATTAAAGATACGAAATGCCAGTATAAGGTCATCTCGTGTCCTACGATACGACAAGGGGAAAAGATTTAGGCGTTTAAAAACGCTCACCGCGTTAAACTATCTTAACCGACCAAGTATAGATTTGAAGGAAGAAGTCCAACATACTTATTACAAAGCGGGTTGTAGTTAATCCTCACGTCTTGGCACTTCAAATCAAGATGTAAATCACTTATCGTTTAGGTTAATCATCAGTTCATGACTTTAAACAAAATCAGTGAGACAGATGTAGCTCACATATTATTTTTTGGATTAAAGTCTTAATGGTAAATTTTAAGAACTATGTGATGAGTATTCTTCTCGAAACAATTGTTACTTGGACACCTCAATGAACAAAAATATTATTTACCTAGACCAGAAACATTCGAGGATCATGTTATCAGGAAATTCTCTTAAACAAAAATCGCTTGGCGCTGCTATAACATGATTCCTAGTGCAATATGTTGGAGAAGCAACTAGGTACCACCTGAACACCGAGACATATTTACTGGGTCTCATAATGTCTCACTATTAAGACGACGTCACAATCCTCGATTATACATCACCAGTAGGTAATGATAATGAGGATGATACAGGTATTCAGTGTTTGACAACGCTCCTACCAGTAACACCTTCTAATATACTTTTTTTCCCACCGAGAGAAATCAAAAGACAGAGTCGAGGAGATCGGAAGAGTGTATTTGGCGATAACCAATATATCGGAATTCTCTGATCTAATCTGGCTAGCGATTGCGGTAGATGTTGAGCACAGCGTTACCACACGTGATCTGGTGCGGATGCATGACCGAGCGCCTTCAGCTAGATGAGTCCACTGAAACATATGGTCAGCATCCAATGTCGAAAACTTACAGAGCTATTTAGTTTGTGGATTTATTTAACGCCACAGATCGCTCCCCCCCCCTGTAGTGGGGCAGTGATGACCCTAAGACGTGGCCAGCCAGAAGTTTAAACCCAACGAGTTTGTCGTTGGCAAACACTCTTCTGATAGCTTATTAAATTTAGCAGCGTCTGGTCGTCTTTCCTTACTATATGGGACCGAGGTACAACATAGTAAAATAAGAAAAGGTACAATGAAAATTTCAGCTCCTCGTAAACTGCATCGTTCTTTTCCAGCCATCCTGGAAAAGAAAAAAGAAAATGTAAGTGCATGTCGAAATACACTCGTATGTACGTAAAAACGCAATGTCGGCGAAAAAAAGGAACATAAACTCAAGCACACGTAGTAGCGTTAAAAATATTTTTTAATAAAAAAAATAAATATATGAGCGTATTAAAATCGTTTTTAAAAAAATATTATTATATATGGTAAAAAGGAAGATAATATAAAATGTCGAGTAGTGCCTTACGTGCAATAGTCGTTCAAATGTTCTGGAAATCTTACTCTTTTTCCAGAACGTGTCGTTTTACTTTCATTTTCAGACACATTCGGAGTGTCATCGCTAGTGTTGGTTGTTGGTTGAGGAATTATGAGTGTAGGAGTCGTGTTGTGCGATTGTACCGAAGGGAAATCGACGTGAATAGGATTTCCTTCTAAATACGCTGCTTTTAAGCGATCGATGCTGATGCTATCGTTTGTTCCGTTCTTATCGACTATATAGTACTTAGATTCGCGTTGAAGAACTTTGAAAGGTCCTTCGTATGCTGATTCGAATGGTCGTCGATGTGCGTCTCGACGAACGAAAACGTGTGTACTATATCATAAGTCAGGTTGAACGAAAACGTCGGTGGTTTGTGGTTGAGTGGAAGCAGGTTTAACTGAACGCATTGCGTTTGTGAGCCTGTTCTTGTAGGAGGTTAGATCCATGTTCATTGAAGAGGATGAAGGATCCACGAATTCTCCTGGAAGTCGAAGTGTCGTTCGATAAACGAGTTGAGCTGCAGTGTATCCAATGTCAGCTTTCACTGCATTGCGGATAACTAGTAGAACGAGTGGAAGGGTATCGGTCCACTGTGAAACGTTTGCAGCTGATAGTAAAGCTTTTAGTTGTCGGTGAAAACGTTCTACCAACCCGTTTGCTTGTGGGTGGTAGGCGGTCGTTCGGAAGCAAGTGCTTCCTAATAGTGTGGTCAGACGACGGAAAATTTCAGACTCAAACTGACGTCCGCGGTCTGTAGTGATGGTTGAAGGGCAACCAAAGTTTGCTACCCATCGTTCGACGAAGGTGCGGGCCACTGTTACAGCAGTGATGTCCTTGATAGGTACTGCTTCTGGCCACCGAGTGAAACGATCTACACAGGTTAAGAGGTAAGAGTATCCATTTGAATCTGGTAAAGGTCCTACCAAATCCAGATGAACGTGGTCGAAACGAGCATCGGGAGTTTTAAATGAGCCTAAGGGACATTAATTGTGTCTGATGACCTTAGATTTTTGGCAGCTTACACAGGAGCGTGTACACTCCCTCACGTCTTTATTCATACCAGGCCAGCAAAACCATTCTGCTATGAGCTTGATGGTTGCACGAACACCTGGATGAGAAAGTTTGTGCGATGTGTTGAAGACATTGCGTCGATAATGTTCCGGGACGATTGGGTGATCCCTACCTGTAGATGTGTCACAAAGTAAGGTTACCTTACCTGTTCCCATCTGTTTGATGCGTAGTTTCAGGGTTGTGGACGATAACTCGTGCCGAAGACCAGTGTCTTCTTTTTGAAGCTGGGCGAGTTTCAGAAGGTCGATTCTTTGGAAACTGTTCAAGGAAGTTATTCGAGACAAGGCGTCTGCAACTACATTGTTAGCTCCAGAAATATGTTGTATATCTGAAGTAAACTGCGAGATGTAGTCCAGTTGTTGAAACTCACGGGGCGAGTACTTGTCAGAAGTAGAGTTTAACGAGAAAGAGACGGTTTATGGTCCGTGAAAAGAGTGAATTCACGGCCTTTGATATAGTGTTCAAAATGCCGTACAGCACAATACATAGCTAGGAGTTCCCTACCGAATGAGCTGTACCTCGATTCTATGTCTAGCAACCGCCTAGAGAAAAATGCCAAGGGTTGCCAGGAGTTGTTAACCCATTGTTGTAAGACTCCTCCGATTGCCGAGTCGGATGCGTCTACTGCGATACTAATGGGTGTTTCGGTGTCCTGATGTGCGAGCATTGTTGCTTTAGCGATCAGTTCCTTAACTGTGGAGAATGCTTTTCGTGCGGTGCCGTCCAAATTAATGGATTTCGCATTTCCAGGAAGTTGGCCGGTAAGAGGTTTCAATTCGGTATGAAGCGTCTGTAGAAACTTACCAGGCCGTTAAACGTGCGTAATTGCTTGACGTTGGTCAGTTCTGGGTAATCCAGAATGGCCGCCACTTTGGTCCTAAGAGGTCGAATGCCATGAGCATCGATAGTGTGTCCTAGAAAGTCTAACGAGTCGGTTCCGAATTGGCATTTCTGAACGTTTACGGTAATGCCATTTAGATGGTAGACGGTAGAACTGTATGAACATTTGTACTGAGAATTCTGATCATACACCAAAAAAACATAACACATTTTAAATCATTCTTAAATAATATTTAATGTCTATATATCACAATTGATTGATCACTGGGTGGTGATCAATGTCATGCTTGTCTAGTCCTTATTAGTGCAGATCGAATGCTATCGATCATGTTGCAATGTGGCCACCAGTCTAGGTGACTCGACATTGCGGGCACTATGTATTGAGATTTAGATGGTGGTTGGAGGTAGTCAACAGGAAACCCTGGACCCGGGTTTCGTGCTATTTGGCACTCGTCAGCAAGGTGTACCTGCAATCTTGAGGGAACTGGTGCTCCCTGGCGGATTCGATCTCGTGTCACCCAGCTTCACAGTCAGAGACGTTACCACTGAGCTATCCGAGCCGTGACTAACCTCCTGTAGGACTGAGATGCAATTCGATCTGCACTAATAGGGACTATTCAATCTCCGATAGTCACCAGTTGGACGCCAATCGTTGCTGTTTTTTTAGGGACCATGTGCAACGGAGATGCATAAGGGCTGTTTGACGGTCGTATGATTCCTAAGTCTATCATGTGATCGAATTCGTTTTTCGCCAACCTTAGCTTTTCAGGAGCTAGTCGTCGTGCTTTAGAGAATACAGGTGGTCCTGTAATCGTGATGTGATGTGTAACGTTGCTGGTTACACACTGTAGTTTTGGTTGAGTTTGTTGTATCCCAGGGTACTTATCGAGTAGTGGTTGATAGAGTGGGTCTATCATATGCTTAACTGTGACTGGGGCTAATCTACAGCTAGTAAAAGAAGTTACGCAAACGGATAAATTAGTGTTTCCGTCTACTAGCCTCCGTTTGCGCTTATCGATGATTAAATTATGGTGTTGTAGAAGATCCATACTAATGATTGGCATAGAAACATCTGCAACAACGAAAATCCAGTGAATGGGTTTGCGTAAACCCACGTTACGGTAAACGTACCTTTTGCCATACGTAGCGATCGGTTTTCCGTTTGCCGCCTGTAAGTTTAGAGTTGATTCGTGGAGCCGGTCGTTATGATTTGCTGGGAGGACTCTAACTTCTGAGCCAGTGTCGATGAGGTAGCGAACTCTCGTTGTCACATCTGTGACGTATAACAGAGGGCTATGTTCGCCGGCTACGGTTGCCGTTAACGCGTGCCGGCTTGGAAGTTTCCCGAAACAGTCGTTTTCGTGTTGGGAGAATTGCAGGGTTTTCTGCAATTTCTGGAAGACTTTCCATATTGTTTATGATACCAGCACCAGTCGGGGTTATCTGTCTCTCGTGGTCTAGAGGCAGATCGCTTACGTGAAATGCTTCTACGTGGGCTGTGTGAGTGATTACGGTCGTTACGAAGATTAAGATAACGCGTGAGTGTATGACATAACTCGGTTATGTCATTCTGAGTCGTTTGAGGCTTTTCTTTGACTGAAAATACCTCTGTAGTAGACGATTTTGTTATTTATAAAATACGATTGGCAGATGCAGCCAGCTCGTCTAAGGCGTTGTTTTGAAACGAGACAAGCACAATTTCTAAAATCTCCACAAACCCCTTCTGATAATAATCATCTGCTCACTGGTGACTGACTTCAAGAGATACTCCTGGAGTTCTAGTGGGAAGCCGACACCAGTGGAGTACAAACAGGTCTGTTGTGAGATATCAGCTCAGTGAAGACAATGGTATATGGTGGTGCAACTTCGTGGATTGGTTGAAGTTAGACATGAACACCGTTGGATGCCGGCTCAGTGGTCTAATGGTTAAGTGCTCGCGCGCGAAGCCAGTAGGTCCTGGGTTCGAGCCCCGCGTGGTGC